ACTCGAGTTGAGGTCACTCATGCGATTCATCGAAATCATTCCATTCTTGTAAATTAGCAAATTATCTAAAAACTCAGTGAGTGCCTGGGAGTCATCCTGTAATTGACCACCATTACCCTTAACAGCCTCGAATAATTTCCCTGCAATCATCGAAGGTCTTCCAAACCTTTGACGTAATATGCTCATAGCCTCGTAGTAGCCCTCTTTTGGCTTCATAAACTTACAGCACTGTATAGCTCTTGCAGCATCTCCAGTGCAATATCTCATCAAATACATTAACTTCAATTCATCATTTAATAAAAAACCACTCAACATGATCTCAAACTCCTTTAAAAATTGTAAATAATCAGCCGGGTTTCCATCAAAACACCGTGGTTCAAATTTAGGGAGTTTGATGTTCCTATTATCCCTGAACGGCGAAACAGTAACATCAACCATGTCATGCTTAACATCAGACACATCGTTACAATTAACAGACAAGTCACCATGACTTACTTTCCTGTTTGCATCCAAGACACTCTGTCCCTTCTTTGACCCAGGCATTGTTGAACTTGACCCAATTCCAAAAGCGTTCCAGATATTGCTTGTTCAAAGAGGACTTGACCGGCACCAGGAAAAATGAACGGCGACTATCCAAACTTTCACCAACTGTTTGAATCCGCCAGATCTGTTTCTATCGTCAGAAACTGTCAATCACGTCTCATAAACCGTTAATGCCCAGCTCTCGCTACGCTCGGGCCCACGCTGTTCTTCGAAGATTTCGGAAACGCTTAGTTATAACGGACGAAAAAACCAAAACACCGATCTGCCGCTTGAGATTTGTTTATTGTTACACCAACATATAAAAGGAATAAGCGAACTAAGGTTTCTGACGATGTTTCACTCTTCTTTCTGAACAGCGACCGATGAGACGATGACTGTCGTATTGATGCCTCCGCGAAAATTGGGGAAGTTGATTTTGAGCAAACAACCAAGAATTGATCGTTCAATCTTCAACTCCATTGACAACGAATAATATTCACGATAATTTGTTTATTCATCAAGGAGAATTATGTTATTCACAGATACTGCTCTATCAGTTACCAGGACTCACATTTGTTAGTCTAGATATCCCCAAACAAGGCCCATTATCATGGTCTTACAAAAGACGAACTTTCCTAATATCTCTTAGTAGCACTCTCCTAACTGTCCTCAACTCCACTTTTCTAATCCGACCATCACAGCTAGGCAGCACATGTCGAGCTAACCCAAGTGGCCACCGATTCTTATGAGTAAGGTATGATATTAAGTTAATTAATTCTCCCACCTGAGAATTCCTATTTGTGTCCATCCAATTATTTCGCTGTTGTAGCAAGGGGAAATATTCCTTTGACCGACGTTTCCAAAATATATTCGCCAAACGGTTGGCTTGTCTCCGCTTTTCTGATAACCTGTCACTAAGGCCTACCGAATCGCCCCTCAATAATAGTAGCTTAACAGGTCTTCACTTTCCGAGGTGTGTCTGTTACTTATGATTCTTTCAGCTTCTATCAATAATGTCATCAGTCTTTCATAAGTCAATGGTTGTTAGTTAACAAGCGCACCTATAACCCTGCGTACAGTACGAATCATACATAACACAATGCTACTGTAATGCAAAAGAAACCACTATAATGCCACTAAACAAGTTTATTTTTCTTCTTTTTCAGAAAGAAACGTTGACGTGACATTACTGGAACAAGAGGAAGACCGGTTACCTAGACTTGTTATAAACGATGATAAGTAGCTTGTAACCCGTTTAATTCAAGTCTGGCTTGGTTGAAATAAACGTCTCTTCCTCACCGTCTTTGCCTTCTTTCTTCGTCAGTCGTGATTGTGGTCTGCGTGTGTTATACTACCCACAAGACTTCCAGCCAGCGGGTTTAAATGCCTATCTACACCTCTACTCAGTAAGGTGCTATGCATTCTTTCTTGTTTCCGTTTCCCTAAACATTGATCTAATTCCCTTTTCATTCCTATCTAACAGATCCTATTGTCACTTAGTATTTCCCCTGGATATTCTTTCCTATGAATAAACCTCACCAGCATCACTGCGAAGAATTCCGTGGATAGGTTGTGCACTATCTCCAGATGCATAGCTTGTAATTTCAGACACATAAAAGCATAAGCATAGCATTTTTCAGTTCTCTTACCCAGTGTCACCTTTAGTGCAAATTTCCCTGATCCTATAGATTCTACTGCTTACACGGAGTTGCTGATCCATACTACCAGTCTAAGACCTCCCCTCCCGAGAGTAGACCTCAGCTATCCAAATAAGAAAGTCATTTTTCTAAGTTTATCCGGTGATATCAAGTGGTGATTTACATAAAGCACTTTCTAGTGATTCTTGGAATGATACCCGGTCCATCGTTAACAAACGTCCCAATAATATATTTAGTTATAAACAGCGCAGAAAGGGCGTGACGCTGCACCGAATGGACGATTGATTAATTCATACACAGAAGCCCTTTAGGTTATATCACCATCATAGAACCATGGAAAATGAAACGTCCCTCTATCTTGTTTTGCAATCTTTATCTATACAATTACCTCTTCTTTGTCAGCAGCAAGCACTAGAACATCTAAAAGAGTAAAGGCATCTCAGCCAGACTAGTGACAGCATTTGGTCCCCGTAGTAATTTGTCATTAGAATACGCACCACTTAGCCTGGTCACAGTTGAAAATTACTCGACACTCTTCAGGTTTTTTCGGTTTCATAACCGGATGGTGAGGTACATACCACTTTATTCTTTCCGGATGAGCATGCATTCCGGCCAGTTCCACAATATATCCTTTCGATAAATGTCCAGCAATGACTTCTTTATACCTATCCAGTGGACTACCATATTTAGAAAGACGTCTTCTAAGACACTCAACATTCCATAGTTGTCCGGCAGATTAGGACAATCACACTTCCAGGCACTTAGTGCGCCTACGACAACTAAAGGTAGTGATTCAGTCCGATGCAGGTCAGCATATGGGTATATCCATGAGATTCTAGGAGGGATCCAACCAGATACACTTGAACATATTTGAAGCGGGCATCTGAAGTTAGAAAAGTACTAAGAGGGATTCGGTGTCTTATTGCTTTGCGCCCTCGGCAAGCTAGACACGTATCAGCTTGATGCCTTATTTTATTTATGACAGACCAATAAGACTAAGTGATGATGAGCTTGGTATTATTTCGAATACCTGGGCGGGACAAACCATACAACGTATTGAAGACGTTACGGCGATAACTTTTAGGGACTATAGGGCCAGGAGTACTGGTGAAAATGTCTCAAACAGTAGTGTCCTTACCTGTGCCTAACAGTTTCTCAAGTAATTTCAGAGTTGCTGTGGACAACTAGTATTGAAGCTCGGTACCCCCTTTTTGAAGACAAGTCAGTTTCTCAAAGTTTATGCTATCCATCTGAACGAATGAACAGATGCGAGTCCCCAGTTAAACCAGCCGACTTAAACCGTGACGAGTAGCATCTAGTGCTGAACGATTAAAATTGTAGGCTAATAAATCTTCGGGAATTATTCACCGCTATGTGCTAATAGATCGGGAATCTCTTGAAAGTTCACTAATAAATGAATGAGCAATCATACGGTCGTCATCAAATGTATCATGCAATATTTGCATGGCACTTTCTTGGCTGAGGTCCAAAGGATGGGCCACACAAGCTTCAATAGCCCTCACCACACTACTACTGGATGATGAGAGTATCATCCAACTACTCATATCAGTCAATCAGTAGTATGTTACTTCGTGAATAGCCTGGTTCACATGCCAGAAATACAAAGCCTGAATAGGTTGAATTGATATTAAGATAAAGTAATCGGTTGTTATGTATAACTACAGTCTAGATCCATATATAGTCTGCCAGACAGAATTTAAACTGCACAAATATTGATTTCCTATACGTTCGTCTCAAAAACAACCAGTCAGATTACAGTACACTGATAGGCGCGTGGGCGTTGATCAGATACTAGCCAATCAGATCTCAACACGTTGCATGCCACTGACTAATTGGTCCAATATTGCAGCATCAGTCCAGGATACATTTTCCGGTATTGACTATTGTAATTACATATTTTTAATTGAAGAGCTTCCCACTCACTCGTTTGGAAGCACACTTTTCCAATATTAATATCTGAGTCTTCTTGAAATTACTAATTATGGTATGTATTATTGTTAACCTTATTTTTCCGAAGATTCAGCATACACAACATCGGTAGAGATGCAGGGATTGGCGCTTTCAGTGTCTCTCTCAAACATTTAGCCATGTCATTGAATAAAATAATAAATTGTAAACTTTAAATGCAGTCGGTAACACCCACGTAGAATAATAACTTATATCGTTAATAAACAACCCCTCAACGAACAAAAACAGAATCAAAGTCACTTTTAAAATATTTTTCTTTATTCCGAAATAATAAATGCATTCGATACATTTAATATTAAGTCAATATCACCAAGATGTTAGTAATGAATCTACCAACGAGAGACAATTAAAAAAAAAAGAAACAATAAATAATCTGTGATAGCAGACAAGTAGATAAGTAAGTTGGTTAGTTAGTTAGTTAGTAAGTAAGTAGATCACCTGAAATAACAATGAAATATGCAATGAAATAAAATAAGTATCAAAGAAACAATGTTCAACACTGTTTAAATATAAGGAAAAAGAAATTGCACATAAATTTTGCAACTGTAGTGTTGATTATACAGATAAATAATATAACTGTTAAAAAGTTAGAGGAAACAATCTACTTTATTCACAAGTGTATAACGGTATTGTTATTCAAAGGAATGTATGCATTCACCAGAAATTGAATAAGTTAAAAAAATAAATAAGAAAATGAACTACATATACTAATTAAACGATTTATTTGTGAATATGAAGGTCAGCAGCAAAAAAGAAAAAAACAAAACAAATGGACAGTTAAAACAAAGATATTATTATTATTAAGGAAAAACATATTATTTTTTCTTTTTTTCATAATAACTGTTTAGAATCTGATTTACCCCGACCAGATTTTGTTTTACGTCTCCACAAGGTGGCAAATGGTCTGACAAAAGAATAATTTCTTGGGATACTACTGGTTTTTGAAAAATCACTACCCTCTGTGTTAGAGGATTGTAGCATTGAATCTTTAGAGCAGAAAGCTGTAAAGAAAATACAAACAATAATAAACAGGTTAATATCTGTGTGCCCAAAAGCGTCCATTAAAATTTCCAAAAGAATATTCTTTTCGATAACTCATTCTTCATCAGGTTCTACAGTTATGTATACATAACAGTGAATGAATTAGTGCCATTAGCAACATTAATATCAATACATAGGTCGTACAAATAGGTGTGTTTACAGTCAGATTTCCCAACATCACTCTGAGTGGTTAAGTAAAGGACAGACAAATCCATTCATAGCACTATTCTATATCATCTTGTGGATACAGAACATAGGACTGATGTTAAAGAGGCTTTTAAAGTCATTTACCACATACCAACTAACCTTAAGAGTGTAACGACAGAAGACAAGGACCAGGCAACAGATCCTTTATTAAGGAGATCAACGCATATTTATAGATTTTCATGTACATTATTATAGATTATAGTTAGCAGAATTGGTTGTTTTTCACTGAAAGTTAACCTTGCATCTCTTTGTGGCTGCTTTTTGAATGTCAGATCATCTATGTGTTAACTGTATCCGCCTGCGCAAAGCCTTTGTTCTCATTTTCTCACGACGAATATTGGGGACATAAACATTGACGTAAACTACTGTCCACCAATTTCGACTAACAGCCAGCTCTCACCACAAGAGTGCAAAGCAAAGTACATATGATACTTACAGTGTCTGTAAGTATGGTATGTGCCTTGCGCCGTCTAAGTGAAAAAGTACTGTTACAAGATTGGCAGGAGCATATACCTGCACTCATTCTTGCAGGTGAACCGCTTGAAGTTGTTGATAAGTTTGTGTACCTGGGTAGTTGTGTAAGTGCTGGCGGAGGGGTGACGGATGAGATTTCAAACCGTATAATGAGTGCTAGGGTGGCATACATTAACTTGAGCCACCTATGGCGCCGTCACGACGTTAGCCTGGCTGTCAAAGGTCGAGTATACAATGCTTCGGTGAGGGCTGTCTTGCTCTACGCCTGTGAAACCTGGCCTCTCCGAGCTGAGGATGTGCGGCGACTCTGCGTATTCGATCATCGCTGTCTCCGCAGGATTGCTTGCGTTTGATGACATCATCGCATGAGTAATTCTGAGGTTCGGCGGCGTGCGTTGCAAAACAGTGGAGATTACCATTCACTGAGTGTCGTCATCTGGAAACAGCGGCTCCGGTGGCATGGAAATGTGCTGCGAATGTCATCCCAAAGGCTTCCGTACAGGTCTCTGTTCGCTAGCTCTGGGACGAGATGGAAAAGGCTGAGGGGATGAAGGATATTTGTGCTAGATTAGCATCGGTTGGTGCGTCACGACAAGATAGCTCGAAACGTCATCGGATATGGCCAAGAATCGTAATCAATGGCGAACGTATTGCAATTTCCTTCTTTATTCCCTTCCCGATGATAGTTGACGAATACTGTTTAAACTTGTTAAGTATGACTGTTTTCCTTCCAGATAAAGTTCTTTATCCGTTCTCTAACTATATTTTTTTACTTTTAACCTACGTTGTTTTATTATTATTGTGTGGCGCATCTTTCTTGGTGCCATATTGTACCAAGTTTTTTCTGCGTTTAAATAAATAATAAGAGTTTGTCTACTACATATTGCTGAGGCCGTTGGGATCCACATTAAGAAACCTAACTTATGTATCTAAAAGAAGTTGGTTCAGACACTAACCTAACATTGGCCATCAGAATTTTTATGATCTTTAATTTGTTGTATAAACTTCTTTAAATTTGTTTGCTATTCTATCAAGCATTACATTTATATTTTATATTTTTTGACTACAGCTTGACTCCACACCGCATTTTTTGGTACAAGTATGGAATTTTCAGCATGGATATCGGTAGCCCAAATTTTGCAGGCCGACCATAGATACTAGGTGTGCGTCGGCAGGTGATCGAACCTCGGACCATGTGTATGGTCGGCGAGAGTTCTAACCACTGTGCCACCGACGCACTTTATAAGAACTTATGCATTCTTTCTTTATCTTGCTGTGCGTCGGTGGCACAGTGGTTAGGACTCTCGCCGACCATGCACATGGTCCGAGGTTCGAGCCCACGCCGACGCACACCTGATTTCTGTGGTCGGCATGCGAATTTTGGGCTACCGATATCCACGCTGAAAATTCAACACTTGTCCCAAAAATACGATGTGGAATCAAGCTGTAATCAAAAATAAAATTATTTAAAAAAAACGCCAATATTGTTATTGACAACTATTTTACAATATTCTGCATATATATATATATATATATATATATATATATATATATATATAATTGGAGAACCAGAAGAGGAAGTTATCAAAAAAAATATTCTTTGCTCAATTTTTTGTTTTTTCTAGATGTCTGAATGAATATTTCCACTACAATGCATTATAGTTCGATAACATCTACATAACAATACACTGAATATCATCGAAATTAGGAAAGATAATAATAAAAAGTCATGAATTTATAGTCTCCACTGAAACAACAAGTGTTTTATGGGAAAAAGAAGCAAGTACAGCCAATACTAACGCCCTGGGCTTCAATTCAGTGGAGACTATAAATTCATGAGTTTGTATTACTATGTTTCCTAATTTTTCTGACATTCAGTTTATTGTTATGTTGATACTATTGAACTGTAATCTATTGATTTTATCGATTCGCTGTTATTTAAACAACATTAATGCTGTTCAAAACACTAATTCATTCACTATTATGTACATATAACTGTAGGACCTGATGAAGAAGGAGTTATCGAAAAGAATATCCTTTGTTCAGTAACCATTCCTTTAAAAATAATATCTAAGTCCTAGAGAAATCGAAACATTAGTGATAAACATCTAAAACCAAACTGTATTCATCACTACCACACTATCTGTTGTTATTGGTAAGAAATCGAAAGATTTTTAACTATATGCTATGCGTACAGTGTGAGAGTGTAAAGTTAAAAAAACAACAACCATTTAAGCAATTTCAAGGTCTTTTAATCATTAGAGGTCATTATTTACTTGAAATATAACACAGCTGCACGCATACACCCATATTGCATGTAGTTATAGTAAACAAAATAAAAACATATACACATCTGTAAACGTAGCGCGCGCGTTTCATTATATTATTAATGTTCACGTAATTTTACTGGATAACAGAACAACTGTAGATATATTTCTGTAATGTTATGCAGAATGGGATTTCATTTTCATATTATATATAACACCAAAACATATGACTACAAAAAATCTACAGTTTGACCTCACCAATATTATTCCCTTTCTCTCTCTCTCTCTCGGATTAATACAGAATACGAAAGATGAGATTATTGTTGACACGTTTGGTTTCAAAATTCACGCAAGTCAAAGTAATGCCCTTCAAGGACATATTTGATTGAAAAAAAATGCAAAAACAAGAAGCAATTTGAGGTGTATTCGTTGATGAAAGAGGATAGTTTAGTAGTGTAAACAGTTTAATAAGGCTGTCTATATCAGTCAATAAACAACCGAAAGGTGACTGCCATAGGCGCACTCGATTGATTGTATAAGCTTTGGATGTTGACAGTACACTATGTATATTTACTTAGGAAAAATTCCTCATATATATGTTTGGAGACAAAATAAAACCGTATTAGTGTAGTTCTTAGTTAGGTTAGGTAGCATAAATATTTGCTAGAATACTGACAAAACATAAGTTGATAGTGACAGTTTAAAAATAAAGTGGGACTCAGTAACTATGATCCCCTTAATCTATCGACTGAGTCACCCACTTAACAAACTATTCAAATACGAGTGAATGTGAACTGATAGTGTATTATACAGCTGAGTAAGGAGATTCATTTTAAGCAGTTAGATAATATAATTAAAATAAAATCAATAACTACAAATACTACATCAAAAAAATTTGACCCTGAAACTTACATAATTCATCATGTATGAAGTCAAAACTAGTTACTGAGTCATTACTGTTAAGTTTGAATAAACGTTTAGGCTCTGGAAAAGTTTGTTCACTTGCAGATAAGTGATCAGAATCACTTTCTTTGAATTCATTGTCATAGAATTTACTTCTATCTATTGAACACTGTATTGGACTTATTGCATCACGAGTTATGCCTTTTCCGTGTTCATTACGTACATCTGTTCGTATGAGGTGACCGCTTAAGGCTTCAATACGACTCCAACGATGAATACGCTCTTGAACTTCACTTTGAAGTTGATCTAAAGCTAGTCTAAGAAATAATAATACAAATAGAAAAAGATAGTAGAAAATGTCATAAAAGGTATGGCACAGTATGATGGTAAACGATTTCTAAACATTACATAATTAAATTTTTCTACCAACAAGAAGCATATTTTAAAAGCACTAACTAACAAGTGGGATAAACTCTATAAATTAAATGATGAAAAACTGATTGGCAATGAAATTCAAATAATCCCAAATATTAGTTAGAGAACCATTGGAAAACCTGGGAGTACTGGACAGCCGTTTCGTCCTAGTTCGGGACTCTTCATCAGTACGCACACACCGGGATTCAAACCCAGGACCTCCTCGTTACAAAGCGAGCTCGTATACCATTAAGCCACTGGGACCCGATCCAGTGGCCCATGAATTCGAGCTTCTGCCAATTCACGACATAGCGCGACCCCTAGCCAATGTCTTCGGTGTGTATTTGCTTCTCTAACTAATGTCAGCTCATGATGAAATCCTGTCACCTGTCACCAAAGAAATCCCTACATACCAACACTTTAATCCCAAATATGCTCTTTCCATATTTCGTCTTTATTATTTCTTTGAATTCTAAGGAAAACAATGGTATATCTCCATTTCAATATATTTTCCGGAATCTTTTCTAGCTGGCTTCACGATTGCTCATAAGCTTTCATCAACCTTTTCACTGGGTCTTGGAACCATACTCGACTTACCCTTCACATTCTAGCTCTAATTGAGGGTCTGTGTGCGCGATGTCACCCAATGGTCTTCGATTAACGCCCCAACCTATCACCACCTTCTTCTGCATATCTGCTGAGCAATATTTTCTTGGCTGGTTCATTAACCGACAGAGTTTCTTGTTCCTTACTCTTTCTAACCAGCCATTTGACCATTAATGAAGACTGAAGACAACTATTGGTGAAAGTTTTGAGCATGTTGGAAATGCTTTTAGTGAAAAGCACACCATGTTTCTGAAGCATATAGAAGTACTGCCTTGATATTAGTAGTCAAAATTCGGATCTTGTTCTTTATGATGAATGCTATTGATCTCCACACCTACTTTCAGAGTACTTAAGGCCTATCTGACTTTCCTTATCCTATAATGGTTTTAGCGTCTCCATCCGTGCCGCCTGCAGTTGAAACGATGCTGCCGGGGACAGATGAGTCAGAGAGGTGACTTCCTTTGGATTTCTTCAGCTGATGGTGATTAGTGCTTGTTTTTGCTGGTTAGATATCTTCATCACCCCTGTGTCCCCTATGTTCAAATGAAGTTATTTCTTTATTGACTCTTCTGCTAACTTGTTAGTCCTCCTCTGTAGATCTTCGAGTCTATGCGGCATTAAACATAAACCACAAGCGAAGTCCAGATCTTTTAGTGTCCAACGTACGTCTGTATTCTCAATTCCCACGGTTTGTTGTATGAGTCAGTTAACCACAATCAAGTGTATCAAGAGTATCATCAGTGATAGCAGGCAGCCTAGACTTATTCCTGTATGAAGTCAAAATAATTAACATAACATTTCAGGTACACGCTCAGATACGCTACATCATTTTGTCTAGTTGCCATTTGGTTATCAGTCAGACAGATGGAAAAATATCAAAGCTAGGTGTCCTAGAATGATGATTGTTATTTGACACTGAATTAGGACACATGCAAAGTCCACTATAGCGCAATTACAACGAATATTAGTAAAAACGTTTTACAAAATCTCCCACCCATTTCAACATTTTAAAATAATAACAGTCATTCTATTTTTTAATGCCTGACATTTATTCATTTCACTTCAGAATTACATGCCCCACTTTGCATTTCTCTAACAAAGCCTTCTCTAGTTACGTATAAACTAATATTACTCTTCTTTAAAGACGTCAAACTACATACTATTTATATCTATCGCTATGCAAAAGGTTAAGACAGACTGGAATAAAGTCTTGAATAATATACAATGTATAAGAAATAGACAGCTACTTAGAGATTAGGCCAAAGTAGTTGCGACTGACTGAGTTTCAAAGTAGGACTTTGCGCAGAAGTGCAGCAGTTCAAGTCATATACTACGCATAGAGAAGAAAAACAACTATAACAGACGGAAATGTGAGGAAGAAAAAATAGTGACATGGAAAAACATGAGGAATGAACAGATTTGGAAGACTATGAAAGATGAAAGCATTTGAGCAATTGGTCGGTAGCGCTCTGAGGACCTTAACTAGGTAGCCTAAACCTCCCTAAGTAGCTTAACCCAACTATGAATGACTCCATCATTTGACCTAGGTTTCGGTTTGACAAACTCTAACTATTTCCCAACTTAATCCCATGTCACCTAACACTGAGCGTCGATGAAGGCGATTGCTCAGAATGTGCAAAACGTGTCCTGGCCATCTTGATTGACATAGTTTCACAACCCCATTAATTGGCTTTCCTTCCGTATATAGCAGTCTATGCCTAATCTCATTATTACTCGCCACATTATGCCGAACATCAGGGGAGATAGAACCCAAACATCTGTGGTCAAAGACAACTAGCCTTTTCACATCTTCCACTTTTGATGGCCATGTTTCACGACCATACAGAAGCACAGAGTGCTACGCAGTACACATCACCTGTGTTCGACAGTCAGATATCACGTCTGCGCCGGAGATAACATAAGTTAAAAGTAGTCGTGATGTTACTGTGATTATCAAACTCAATAAAACTGCGTCGGTGGAAGGTAAGCAATGTTGACGTTAGGCGTAGAGTGTTGAGCAAAGAGGGAAAATCAATCGACGAGGCTATAAAGTTACATAGATTGAGATGGCTAGGTCACGTGCTGCGCATGCCTAACCATTGCCTCCCCCACCGACGGGCATAACTAACTGATATAGGTGTAGGTTGGAAAAGAGCCAGTGGTGGCCAAACAAAAACATGGCCTCATCAATCCATGAAATCCTTGACAGTTAAACTGAGTGAGTCAGGTAGGCAGATGCAGACTTCCGGGTTGGGGCCCTTGGGACTGACTCTAGGAACCAATGGCTGGAGACAATAGGTGACATGGCTCAAAATCGTTGTCAATGGCCAGCGCAGATGTATTCAGTCTCTGTAATCTTTCATATTCCTTTCTACCATTACCCATTCTGTTGCACTCGTATACTTATCAAACTCTATTGATTCTCTTCACTCTTCTTGTCTACCTTTGTGTGCCATTTGGAGCGTGGCAACTCGAACTGGTGCACTTCGGTGCCAAGTTCTATGTTGAATCCAGCCAGCCAGCATCGGTGGACCTGTTGCCTTTTTACCATTTCTGTCACCTTCAATACACAACCTATTTGACAACCAGTAAACAAGTATTTATATATAGTAATTATCATTTGTTTCTGCTTTCGTTAAAGCACAAAATCATACCACATGGTGTAAGTCGACAAAAACTTCATCTAATTAAACTCTTATAAGAAAGAAAATAAAAAAATAGATATTTAACCAACAAGACACCACGTGACCGATAGATAATGCAAGATATAAGGAATCAATATAAAATCTATAAAAAACACAATCAATATAATCAATGGTCAGACACAGCGGGATGTGGGGGGGGTAACAGAAAACTGATTGTCTGAAAATCATCTCATCGATACGTAAACAAAGCGATGCCACTTTTTATTACTCTGAAAAGAATTATTATTATTACTTCCTTTAATTTAGATGAGGATTTCATCTGGGATAACTAATTGGCTGATTGAATATGACTACTAAAGGCTGTGCTGTATACACACTTCATATAAACCGTATATCGTGTTAATAAAAGGGATAATTTTCTTGAACAGTGCATGCATTTACACCACAACCACCAGCACTGTATACATCCTCAAGAGTTATCTTCAGAAGAGCATCTATGGTGGAGCTGGAAAACCTGGGAGTACGGGACAGCTGTTATTTCCTAGTTTGGGACTCCTCAATAGTATGCACCCACCCAGAGTTTGAACCCAGGACCTTCTGGTTACAAGGCGAGCTCGTAGACCATTAAGCCATCATATTCTTTGAAAGTATATAAGTATATATATCCTTTGAACAAGACTTTTCTTCAGCACTGTGTGTGAGAAAAAGGTGTTTCTGAAATGTTTATCAATATATATATATATATATATATATATATATATATACGGTTGAGTTCTCTGAGATGGTTGATTTAACCGCAAAGCTTCCAACTGGATATTCTCACAATTTCACCATATCAAACTACTAGCAAGAAACAATCTTCAGAAACCACAAGAAATTCATCCTACCATACATAAAGAATGCTTCTGAAATAACGAATGTAATATTACAACCATTCGGAATAGATATCGTACACAAACCAACACAATCGCTTCATTCAGAACTATGCAGAATAAAAGACGAAACACAGAAAGAAGACATTATCAAAATCATTTGCAGAATAAATTGCATGAACTGTGATATGCACTAACACCGGCCAAAGAGGTATCCGCTTCAGCTGAAAATCTAAGAATATAAACTAGCTGTCAGAAGACACAGAGTGTATTCTTTCATGTCGAAGCATGTAGGTAACTATAGACACCAGTTTGATTCGGCAAAAGTAGAAATTCCAAACAGTGGAGACACCGAAACTCCAGGAAATTCCTAGAAGCTTGGTACTCAGAAGAATCAGCGATTAGCAGATAAATTACTACAGATTAAATTTATCAATAAAGAATAAACCAAAAAGTCATATTCCAAGTCGACAGAAACGAATAATACTGATAACAGTTAACAGCCAATCACAACCAAGGTCGTCAGGGGATACGATTATAACATTCATGCGGAAGGAATTCGAATAAGTCCACTTCATATAAAAAGCCTGCGTTGGAGATGCTGTGTCTAGAGGGAACAACGAGTGCTTTACAATCAAATCACCCAGCTCAGAGAACGCAACCATATCAAAATAGCCTTTTCTAGTTAACAAATGATTGATGTGTGTTCAGAGAAAACTACTGCTGTGAGCTTAAAAGTTTGATCGCTCTCCTGTAGTGATAATTATACAGGTAGAACAAAGAATATGCTTGTTTAAAAGTCATAAGAATTGTACATTAAAAAATAACAGTACATCTTCTCACAGGTTTAAAACAGAGAGACAAAATGTTAAAGCTTATTTTGGTTGATGGTGACTGGCGATGGAATGCAGAATGTGCATTTCGTATTACTTAGGACTCGTCATATGGACGTGTCTGTACTTCTAATGAGTGATGATGTTCTCAATGAGACTTGAACGCTGCATTCATCTTTTTAAACGCCAAGGCACTATCCACTAAGCAATTAGGATAGGATTCGAATCTCAGTAAGGACATTATCACTCACTGTGAATGCAAATACACGTAGTTGATGAGTCCTAAATAAAATATGCTCATCTTGTATTTCCCTACTTTAGTCAACATTTATCAAATAACATTGATGCTAATCCTCAAACATCATCGAAGTGTCTGTACAAAGGAACCGACATGTCAACAATACAATCGGTCCACCATAAATCAATTAAAGTGAAATGCAAATTAATCTAAGGAAAATAACCACAAGGGTAAAACTTACTTAGCAATAACTAAACGCTTTTCCAATTCATCTAAATTATCTGTATGCACTAGCCGTAGCGAGCCCAAAACATTATAGCGTTTACGATTAAAACGTTTACACTAAAGAAAGAAAGGAAAAATGAAAGAAAAACAACAACAGCAATCAATATATGTACTTGTTGAGGGGAATAAGAAATGGATTCTTTTTTTGCCTTTAAAAAATCACAGTGACAAGTAAAATTTAGTAATATGAAAAAATCACAATTACATTTCTTTATCACATATCCCCTAATAAACTGATAGTCTTATGTCTTATTATCGGCTGATTTTTATAAAAATCTCACGATTTTCTTAAAATGTATCATAGCTGAGAGAGCTACGCAGTTAAATAAGCAAACAAAATAATGCGTATATATATATATATATATATATATATATATATATATATATATATATGAGCACAATACACAAGTTGTAGTAGACTTGTTACCATGATAACGGAAACAAACAACACCTGATAGATATTGACTGTTTTCAGTATGCAATTTATAAAATACAATGCGACTTAAAAATAGGAAGTCATAACTCATCAATTAACACACACACAACTTACACAAAAATCATGTGTCTGAAATCTATTTGATCTACTGACAAGACTAAGCAGAGTGGCTATTCTACAAACAATAAATCAAACTGATTGTAATATAGAATAACTGATCTGAAAATTACTCAGTGTGAACAACCTGCTTGCAATATCGATACTCAATTTGAATATTTTAACTAGTTGTGTTAATATCACCCTTGTACTCTGACCTGTATATCATCGATGTAACATTTGTATATCTTCTTTTGAGTTAACCCTTATTATTTGTCTTTGCTTATTGGTTGAGTCGTATTCTTGGTGCTTCACTTAGCTATTGTGTGCTGGTAGACAGTTGATCACATAATGTGTTATTAATGCCTACTGACAAGAAGACGAGACATTAGTGTAAAGAGTAATTTGCATAAGAGAAGTACGTGGACACGTTAATATATGCATTTACACAGCTTTGTTCCTCTCTGGTATTAAAGAAGTTAGGCAAAGACACTCAGCTATACGGTGAAAGCTATTTGGAAAAGTTCATCACTAAACAACTGACCAAGAAAGTAGGAAAGAATTCTTCTGTAACTGTTAACAAGATGCCTCTATATGAACGACTACAATTCAAAGGTGATATACCAAGTGAGATAATAACCAACAAGTTGAGAAAATCGATTCAAAGAACGTGTAATGCCAGTTGACTACAGCTTACATTTTCCGAAACTGAAAAATAAAGTACTCACGCTAGCCAACTGTAATTGTAGCTATCAATTCAACTGTTTCTGTGGAGCCAGTTATAATGGCCGTTACTCTAGAGACCTAATTTTTCCCATTTGGGAACACCTACCAGTGTAGTTAAATAAAAGTGTTTTTAAAATCGTCAACAGTTCTATAACCACACTGAAAAATCTATCTGTTCATCACCTATCAGATATCGAATAAATTACCAAAGGCCTCTAGATACCGAGCATTTCGAGTTTCGGTGGGAAGATCATCACTCACTGCGGAATGCAGGTACATCCAGCTGGTGGAGGAGTCCCAAACAGGACGAAATGCTATTCCTGGATTCCACTGCTACTCATCATCCATCAATTGACCTCTAATTACATGCCAAGACATCGTCGAAGCATCTGCACAAGAACCCGACATGTCAACCTGAGACTGAGCACTTCGGTTGAATCAATGGTGTGGAATAATACTTTAGAGAACAATTTGAAATTCTATCAAAGTATAATTAGATAAGAGATATTTCCTAAAATTCACTAACTGACCCAAATATCACGCCATATACATCTGTTGTTATTTCTGTCCAGAAGAAAAGTGTGCACACAAAACCTCATAAAGTAGCTTTCCCTAGGATGTACTACGATAGACAGCTTAACACGTGTAAATTCTCGTACCATATCGAGAACAACATTTCTAATAATGTAGTAGTGACACTACGAATGTCATTTTGCAAGCGTATAAAATGCAGTTAAACACAACTGAACACAACTACAAGTGTTGAGCAATATCACACATATAGCGCGTGGCTTGGTAATCTGATGACCGTCCAATAAATTATTATAACCTACAAGAACTGAATGAATGACATATATGTCAAACTTTTCTACATGACAAGAAAGCAAGTTTATATTACATATGTAACTGGATAAAATTTATGTTCTTTTTTAGGGGCATAAATGGCTTAACTCTACATTACAATTACACTAACAGCAAACTATTAATAGTCAAGATATACTGACTTTTTGTTGTCTTTCTAAAGCAGTTAAAGCAAATTACTTTGTCTAGTGAAAAAAGAGGAAACCAAGTTTGAAGATAGGATAATGCTAACCTTAAACAATTATTTGTTAACTCCATTTAGAAACAGAAAACAAATGAATATGAATGAGCTACAAGAGGTTACCCATCATTAGTTGGCCTCAAGATTGCCCATAAGCTTTCCCTTTCTCTTCATACGATCCCCCTCCCCATGTAATCCTCAGATTCATCATGCCTAAAACATCACATCCTATTACGGTTCCCACTCAAGAGCTCGGTGCGTGATGTAACTCAATAGTCTTTCTCAGTATATGTTCATTGAAAGTGGAAGACAAGAAAAGGCTGGCTAGTTGTCTGCGTTCTATTTCCCGTCTTAAGTGGTATAATAGGGTAAGCGATATTGAGGCTAGGAGTAGAGTGCCGGGTAAGGAGGGGAAATCAATAGACCAGTTTTTGAAGTTACCCTGATTGAGATGGTTAGGACATGTATTATGCATGCATCTCTAGCCATCACCTTCTTCGACGGGAGATTTTAGCTGACATATACAGGATCAGGTTGGAAAAGAGCTAGTGGTTGGCAAACCAAAACATGGCTTCATCAGTAAATCACATCCACAATAGTTAGTTCAAACCAGACACGTAGGAAGGTGTAGACTTCCTGGTTGGGGTCCTCGGGATGGTAAGAACCAATGAAGGCTGGAGACAATTGGTGATGTGGCTCACAATCCTCGTTCTCAATGGCGCGGATGCATTCACTCTTTTTCATTTATAATATCCAATAAAATTCTGTTGTTCTTCCGTATTACTATTCTTTTTACCTCACGCTTCCGTTTATTATCTCTCTTTTGTTGCTTTGTGTGCTACATAGAGAGTGACAGCTTGAACTGATGCACACCTGTTCAAAGTCCTACGTTGAAACCAGTCAGTCAGTATGTTCAACCCATCTGCACCTTTTTCTGTAAATTTAATAGACAATAAGCCCTTAGTTTGGGTCCCAGTGGCTCAATGGTCTACGGGCTCGCCTTGTAACCAGAAGGTCCTGGGTTCGAACCCCAGTGGGTGTCTATTGATGAAGAGTATCAACCTGGGACGAAACAGCTGCCCAGTACTCCCTGGATTTTGCGTCAGTGGCACAGCGGTTAGGACGCTCGCCGACCATGAACATGGTCCGGGGTTCGATCCTCGGCCGACGAACTCCTTTACCTCACTAAACCAGAAATAATGTTGGTAAAGAGGAAAGGTTGGGGATGAGCCTAGCAACCCCATCCTGTAAAATAAACACCACTGCTTCAGAATCTTCAAGCCACTAGCTTTAAGCCCTATGTCCTACTGGGGAACGTGAAGGAAAGAAGTCCTCACTGTCAGAATTTCTTGTTGCTTATCCATTCCCAGTCGGCTAACTGATCTTTTTTTATTACAGCTTGATTCCACACAGTATTTTTGGTACAAGTATGGAATTTTCAGCATGGATATTGGTATCCCAAATTTCGCAGGCCGACCATAGTTATCAGGTTTACGTCGGCAGGGGATCGAACCTCGGACCATGTGCATGGTCAGCAAGAGTCCTAATCACTGTGCCACCGACGCCGATCTTCGCTATGGAACGAAGACAGCTGGCCATGAAAATCTGCAGTAGCCTGTCCGGAATACTCTTCGAGACGATTTAAGTCTGCGAATCACACAGAAGCACATCTGTGAATTAAACTATCAATAGACAACCATCAAGAAGTGATTACCAATGAATACTGATTAGATAAAAACAAAACGAAGAAAAAAAGAGAAAAGGTAACACCCCTACTAACTTACCGCTTGCCGAGCAAAATTCAACTTCTTTTCAGCTTCTATTTTTTTCTCACAATAACGTTTAAGTTCTAATTCATAAGTGACTTGTAGCCAGTGTTTAAGTTCATTAGCTGCTAAATAAGATTCATTCACAGAAGAATTGCCAATACTTTTAAATTCTTTTAAATTGACATCTTTACGATGATGTTGAAGGGAGTGGATTTGATCAGCAGTCACTAGATCACAATCTGAGTGGATATTTTGATTTAACAATACATTAGAATGAATAGAATCATTATTCAGATCAGTTAACAAAGTTAATTCTGTAATAGAATTTGAATTATACGGTAAATGATTCAATGACTGTTTATTTATTGGTAAACATTTTTCACTGTATGGTTTTGTATTCATTGTCTGACATGATGAAATGTTTTCTCGGCTTGTACACTATAAAAATAAACAATAATGATAACAAACAATCAACATCAACTATATTAATGATAAAACTGCTAACTATATAGAGAGAATATTTTTTTTTCAAACACGATATAAAACTCAAACAAATCTACATAGAAACAAAGAGTACATGGTTGTTTCTATCATTTTTCTTATGCACATCGAAAAACTATAATTGAACTTGAATAGAGCAAGAACATTGGTTTGTGCAAAATAATATGGTACCATCATTGTTTATTTCGTTGTCTTCTCATCAGCTGCTGCTTACAGCCGAAATAAATTGTGAGGTTTATGTACAGGAAACTTTTAACATAATTGCAAATTTTTCATGAGGTCAGTTGACAGAAAGTTCCACAATTAGTGAACACTGCCCAGAAAATTGCGCTTATATAGTTTTTTACACAAGCAGTTCAAGTTTAAACAAAATAAATGTATGCAGAAAATGGTAAAGGAGTTACATAATAAAGACGAGATATACGTTAGATGCAGAGCGACTAATAAATTAGGTTCAACTCAAATCACAGAAACAAGAGACAAGCAAAATTACAGATTATAAAAAGGGGGGGAGGTTAAAGACAAAGATCACGTAATCAGATGGGAAAGTTACCAGGACAAGGAAAGACTGATAACGGCTTCTTTCTGAACACATAAATCTAGTCTCAAGCGTTCGATGGAAATTGCTTCGGCAAACTTCAGGAGAATGGAGCTCCTTTGTCTACTGGTAATTTTAAAGTTCTCGATTTCCACTCCATGACCCATGTTGCGGTGTCTGGTAATAGCGCTACTATAAGAATTTGTTCCCTTGAGACGTAGGCTTTTCGGCACATGTTCAGAAAATCGGAGGTGTGCCCTTCTTTCTGTTCTCCCAATGTAACTGCTCCCGCAGATACACTTAAATTTGTATACACAGTTGGAGTTAACATGAGAAAGGTATCTATCAACTTTTGACTACGCCAAAGAGCGTGTTGTTCGATGGATGGAAACCAACTTGGCTGCAGAATAGGCTCTGGTTAGTGACATTTTCAGTCTTCTGTTGACCATTTCTGCAATGTTTTCACCTTTAAAATCTAGTTGAATGAAGACAGGCCTTTTAAACTGATGCACTTATATAAGCGACCCAAAGGAAATATATTGGCCTTAAGTGCATACTTTAAAAGTATCCATATAAATCAGGGTTAGGGATTGATATTAGTTAGGGAACCATTGTGAGTCAGTGGCACAAAGGTAGAGTGCTCACTGATCATGCAGGTGGTCCGGGGTTCCATCCCCGGCCGACACACTCTTTTACCTCGCTGAGGCAGTAATAAGACTGGTAAAGAGGCAATGGTGGGTATGAGACTAGCAACCACATATATCGTAAAAATAAATACCACTGCTACCGAAACTTCAAGGCTCTAGCTTGAAGCTCCATGTTTCACTGGGAACTTAAAGAAATAAAAAAAGAGAACCATTGGAAACTAGCAGGACGTACTGGACAGCTAGCGGTCACGCTAGGGTCACGAACTAGTAGGAGTTAGAATTTATGGGTCACCGAATTACGGCTCAAACAGCTGAGAAATCAACAAGCTTGGACTCGTAACCCCAAGGTTCCGGATTCTATCGCTGGTTGGGTCGTGGGTGCAAACTGCTAAAGAGTTTCAAACCAGAAGGAGACAGATATCCAATACTCCTTGGTTTTCAATGGTTTTGTAGTTGATATCAATCTGTGGTCAAACTTAAAACAAATCAAATCCCTATGAACTCACTTTTCAAACTAGTTAGTCAATAATTGAGATTCTACGTTCTTCCACAAGCTAAATTTCCCATTTTACTGAAAGCTTTCGAAAATATACAGTATGAGATTAAAGTTATCACATCAAGAGACGACAATAGTCTGTAAAAGCGATGACCCGTAATTTCAGTAGTATAGTCGCAATTGCAGACCACGCATATTTTAAGGTTTATAGACTAAGATAATGAATGGATAGAAACTTAGTGAAACACATGAATATCTTGGATACACAGTACATTTGAACGCATTGAGATACAGTGTTCGTGTTAATTTTATATAAAGGGGAAGGAAATAACAGCAAATTAATTGCATTACTATGCGGTAAACAGTAAGGAAGAGGACTCATTCAAAGTCAGCTGATTTTAGGATGGTTTTCAAAACTCAGCGAAATCAGTTAAATAATTATTATGAAATTAGGTATAATAAACAGACATAATACCCTAATTTGATACACTTTAGAGGTGCACATTCATAGATTAAAGAAGAAATCAAATCATCAGTAGACAACCGTCGATACTTTCGACGTGGTTTACTCCTTATTTCAAACATTTTATTGATTTCATACAACCGGTTCCGTTTGTTAGTTTGAATGAAGAAAGAACGAGCCTATTTGCAGATGTTCGTTAGTACTTATTACATCGGACAATTAAACCCGCATAAAACTAAGGCTCAAGAATATAAAACAACCAGAATAGAAAATGTGATTAGATGAAATTGAAGATGATATAAGAAAGGATCATAGAATCATTAGTGAAGGAATTCAGGTACACTAAATCGCCTAATCTAGAATGACATATGGAACTTATACTTTTCATTTACCACTGGCGGCCTGCTTAAATCACTCGGCTACCTAATTTTCCATCTGACAAAATGTATCTTATTTTTAGTCTATTTTATGTTGTTTTGATTATCCAATTATATCTTTGAATTGCAGTCCTACTTCCGAATAGGACTCAACCTACGGATATATATTTTTCAAAGAAAACGAAGTCAGCTGCCACCGATGATCATCGAAAATGGAAAAGTGTAGGCGGCTGTTACTTCCCGGCTGCCTACAATGTGGAAGTTAATTTTTTCCTGAAGTACCTGATACAGCAAGAGAATAAGTGTTGCTTGACCGCAGGGACGAAGGAACAACTGCTTGAGACCGGTCATACACGGCTTGTTTGAGCTGGTTTTTAGAGTTATTTCCGTACTAGTAACTTACCGCGAACTACGGACTACCGTGTGGTAAGTCGGAAGATGTACAATTTTCGAGGTTGACCTTTTGTAAACCCTCCTCTGCAGAGTGGAGAAGCAGCAGCTGGTCATCTGAAGGAAATACCTTGCTACTATTATATCCCTGTCCACAGACCCTCCAGCATAATATAAACATCTTACACCATGACGGTAACTGCCTTTAGTCTAATCGTTATCATTGCCAACCTGACCACCCCATCAAGTTAGTGCGGTGTGTGCTACTGATAAGATTCATCAGTACTATATAAAGATATATTCATCAGCATTAAAAATATCAAACATGAGGGAGATACATTTGATGTCAGAGAAATTAAATGATATAGAGTTGTGGAGATACATGGGTGACGTCAAAGGAACACAAAGAAACACAATGTGGAAGCCAGAAGTAGCACAGCACTGAAGATCTGTGCTAATGGTGAGTTGAAGATAAGGTGTACATAATATCGCTAAACAGGGATACCAAACTGCAAATAAAGATTCCTTTACCAAGTGTTTCGTCTTCTACTGTTACAGTAACAGTTATCGGTTTGGCGAGTCGATTGTGAGTGAATACAAATTAACAAAGTTTTGAAGAGCGAAAATTATCTACACTCAACTTGTGAGAAAATTAACAATACAAAACATATTGAATTTAAGTGCGTTACAGTGTGTGTAAGAAATAAGAGAAATAAACGATACTTACTTGTGAAGACATAGGCAAAAGCGCTGAGGATGATGTAAAACGATGATTTAACTCATAAGCGTTCAATGTTTGTCTTAATTGCTCCACATCATTTAACCTGTTCATTTAAATATTTAAAAAAACGACATCATACATTGCAGATCACTAGTAAAATAATTGAGAAAATATAGAAAACTGACCTACTGTCATTATATGCACACATTATTTAATTAAAAAATTTAGTATTTACTTGAACACAAACTTGGTACAACGAAGGCACCAAGAAATGCATCACACAATATAACATTTTTTTGAAAACTGGGGTGCAACATAGACGCTTACACCGATGCTGATAATTGTAATGAGTCTATAGCTGACCCACAATGCTGCACAGCAATGTTGCATCATGCACTTCCGTGTTTTTAAGCGACCAAAAGCAGTTCATATTGAAATTCTTTTATTCCAAAACCTAGAGCACACATGTTTCACCGAATTAGAATAAGAATGTCCAGACCTAATCAGATGAACTCTCAATATCAATCAGTCAATCCGCAGATGAGAGCCATAAAATCTCAATAGCTTCAACAACAAACACCTCTTGTCGCGAAAAGTCAATGGATATGCAGTGCTTGGCATAAACAGCCACATAAAAGCATTTGAAAACAAAGTCGGCATACCAATCAGTGGAATTGTTGATAACATAACTCGCCTAAGTTCCGTAAAATGCAACAGAATGCAAACGATTACTAATGTTGCATAACTAATATTTGACTTTTTAAAATCTTTGCATCGAATACAACTATTTCTTTCATGTTTTCACTTAGAATATGCATGTTGCATGTTGTCCGTATAAACCATTACCAGCTCATACAAGTAACTAGTCAATTTTCAAGTGGTTTTAACTAATCTATCCAGTTTTTAATTGAATTTTAGATTATCCTGTCAATTGATTGGACCGAAGTGCTCGGTTTCAAGTTGACATGTCGGCTTCCTGTACAGATGCTTCGACGATGTCTGGGCATGTAATTAGAATTTAATTGGTAGATGGTGACTAGCAGTGGAATCCACGATGCGCATTTCGTTCTATTTGGGACTCGTCAACTGATGTACCTGCATTCCGCAGTGAGTGATGATGTCCCCACCTAGAAGAAGCCGACATGTCAACCTGAGACCGAGCACTTCGGTCCAATCAATTGACGGGAAAATCTAAAATTCAATTAAATAATTAATATGACCCTTTGCACAAGAGGTGGCTCTCGTGACCCAAGTGGTCTAGTGGATAACGCTTTGGCGTTTGAAACTATGGGCACTGGGTTCAAGCCTCGGTGGGAACATCATCACTCACCGTAGAATGTAGGTGCATCCAGTTGATGAGTCCCAAATAGGACGAAATGCGCATCCTGGATTCCACTGCTAGTCACCATCCACCATTTAATCTATCCAGTACTTTAAGTTACATCTAACCAGATAAATCAGTGATAAGCTTAGCCTCAAACGAGTGAAACCGTCTTTTGGCGTTTAGATAACATTGAACTGGCTAGCAAGTATTATTGTTTAATACGAATGCCTGATACTAATTAGTACTATATACTATCATGCTACTGATATGCAGACAGGTAAGCAATAGTTTCCTTTTATGTTGATATGGTGATCCAGATCAGTCTGGAAGTAAATCATACATATATATATCCTTTTATGGACATCTCTGACGCCTACGTCACTGGCCATATATATATATATATATATATATATATATATATATATATATATACATATCCTTTGGTAAATATGATTATACTTATTCTGATACTGAAACGGACTTTTATTCTCACGTATTTGTGTGTTCTCATTTAAGCAGAGGGGGTTGGGAAACAGCTAGCTGTCGTATAATGTTGTTGATGTAATCAAGCGGTAATCGTGATGAGTGTGTCTATATCCAGCTTGACGTCCCTATTCAGTTTAACGTATTACTTGTTTTTGTGTTGCCATTTATCCTACTAAGCGAGTCTCATATTGTGATCTGAATATCTTGGACTTACAAAAGAAACTATGATGTGCAGTTTGCACATGAGAAGTTTGAATAACCCACTTGTCATCCGGTTCGCCTAAATCAGGAACCTTTTTATCTCGCAATACACGGTATCAGGCATTTAAATATATAGCTACTCATTCAGAGTCCTATTTATTGGGTATACGTATGAAGTTGGGCAATTAATACACCACGCTTTTAGACAAGTCCCATAGGCAGATCTAAAAGCAACAATCATACAGATGAAACCAAACTCAATCAGAAAGCGTCCACAATAATTCATGACTGATCGTAAGTCTATAGAGAAGGAACCTTCACAACTCTGGTAACATAGGCTACAAATTATTGAGTTACGTAATTCAGATGAAATGAGAGTGACTGTAAAAGCTACCTTATGATGTTTAACAAAAATTAAGTATTTCTCCTAAAACCATTAAGCTAGGGAATTAATTTGATATTGCACATAAAAGTAGCTAAGGTTCACCTTGATAGTTATTCAACTCGCAGTTTAAAAACCACTTAATACATAAAGGCACAATCTTACTTGGATAGTCTGTAATAAACACATCTAGTCAGCACCTGAATTTATTTGTTATAATATTCCGTTCTGAAGTACTGCAAAGTAGTACACGATTGTTGTCCATAATCAAGACTTCATGAGTACCGACGGAACAGACAGAAATTTAACAAAAACAAATGCGCTAAGGTGTTAGGTAGTATAGCCGCAATTTTAGTTACGAGAAGAAGAAATGGAGGAATCCTGTAATTTTAATCAAATCGCACCAACCAGGTAGGGAATTTCCAGGGCAATGAGGTGAGAGAGAAACAAACGCCATTTAAAACATATCTCAGTTTCCCACTTTTTGTACTGAACAAGATTTTGAGATTCCAGTTCCCGACAGATATCAATGTATGTTAGTGTTACACCAAAAGTATTTTTGAGACAAAAGGCTGACGCGGGAATAAACATGCTTCTCAATATTCGTATACTGTACTCTAGCATTCCCCTAACTCACACATCTATTAGTTGGTTGTCTCGGAAAACTACATGAAATATTCTTCCTTGTTCTAAACTTCTCTTCGTAGCCATTTCAATGATAAAGATGTGATGTCGCAGTCATCTGTGCATACTTCAACTTCAACTAAGCTTAGGGCTACTAAAAAACACTGCAAAGTAAAGAACTGATATCATTAATTCTCTTCGTTTTTATCATTATTGTATGCAATTCATTAATCTTTTTTTTATAAGCATGTGTCTAGTGATATATATATATTTTCACCTAGAACACTTAGTCTACCTATGATACCTCATAAATCCAATCTCTTCAGAGAAACACCTCGAAAAAAACATAAGTAAGAGCAAAATCTATAAAAAACATTGACTATTTCTAATAATCTACACTACTGTCAATACCATGTGGATAGGTAAAAATTAGTAACAAAGCAGATCGAAATCAGTCTAAAGATCGATACAAAACTTATATGTATCTTTATCCTTTTGTTATGTACACGAGTGTGTTTATCTCTCAGTAATCAATACATTGATCGTATTTACACAAAGAGTTATGATAACAGATAATTTCTTAACTATTAGGAGAAAATTATCTCCTATAACATCTTTTTCAGATCCAGTCATAACCTAATTGCATCATTTAAGCTTCCCTCGGCTACTAAAGCAATATCAGTCTATTTTGGACTGACGGAAGAAGTGCAAGCAATTGTTCCTTCTTCACCGTGTATACTTACTTTAAACACACAGTATTAGAAGGAGTGCTCACTTCGTGTGTGATTGCACAGTTGACGATCAGTTACATACCATCTGTGTAAAAGCATAACGATATGTTTCGTCTGTACGATAAAAAGATTGTCTTCAGCTAAAGAGGAAAATGTGACAAAATGGGATGTATGGTACTCAGAACCAACCAATTGCAAACACTCAGGAAGAAGACAATACAGTTGAAATGTTAATCATCTGAAGGACACACCTGACTCTACTCATTTTCAGTAGAACTTCATCCTCAGAAGGTTCTTTTAGTTTTGCTACCAACTGGTTGACCTATATGGAATTATAATACCTCCAGAAACAATTCTTCTAGGCGGCAACATAACAAGTTGATTCAATGTGATACACGAACTTTAACAACATACAAGGGATAGTAAGTATCAGTCAGACAAGTGGCACTTTCAAAATGCGATATTATATTGACCATGGTGAATGCAAATGACTCATACAATATATGTGATTTATTCCCTAATATGAATAACAGCTACTGGCTGTCGAATCGAATACAAAAAATCAAACGCTGGATTTCAGTGCTTGACTTACATGGAAAAATGCTCTCCAACTAGATTTAATTTAAGCAGTAAATACTGAATTCGAAAGCCTAACACTACCATATCCGACTGACTCATAGATACTTAGTGCTGATTATGATGAATATAGACAAATTAAGAGATAAAATGATGATGAAAAGTACTAGCACATGAAATCCTAATGATGTTTCAAGTATGCAGTTTGTGAATTAGTTTAAAAAGTCCTCACTTTTTATATACCAACTTTTGTGGAGTGTGCTACCGATAAGAATATGTAAATAGTATGCAGTATGTGTGTGATCTTCAATTACAATATTGAATAATGGAGTGACGGTTCAAGTGACGAAGAGGAAAAATTAAGTATCCTTGTGAAGCAATGTAGAAAGCATGAGAGGAAGACAAATGAAGTACAATACGATGGGCTGATACCCTATAATTAATATATCTAATAAGGAAAGTAATACTGAACAGCAAAATAAACCACCGAAAAGGCATGCAATTATTCAACACCCAACCAAAATCTACGCGATTATTATTATTCTCTTAAGTTCCGGGTGGAACATTGGGCCTCAGCAGCACATCCCCATTTTGTCTAGTTCTCTGCAGTCCTCTTTAGCTAGCTCCACGATTGCGCATAAGCTCTCATCTCCCCCTAACACGACCTCCTCCACATTGTCCTCAGACAAACGCCCAACTCATTGTTTTCAATCGTGGTTCCACTTGAAGCCCTCCCTGTGCACGATATCACTCCAGAGCCTCCTCAGTGCGTGTCAGGACCATCTCCATTTCTCCCGGTATATTTCTTGGACGATAGCTGCTCGATTGGTTCCTTGGCTAAGTTTCTTGTTGCTTATCCTTTCTAATCATCCGTTCCTAAGTATGGAGCGAAGACATATGTAAATTAAAGTCTGAAACCCGTTCTAAATGCTCTTGGTGACATGCAACATTTCTGAAGCATATACAGCCAATGGCTTGACATTAGTGTCGAAAATCCGAATCTTGTGCCTTCTGTCTGTCTGGTTTCAGCACAGAACTCTGCACCGATGTGCACCAGTTTCAGTCGCCACACTCCCTCCCTCCATGTAGCACACAAAGCAAGAGAACAAAGTAGAAGAAATGCATAATAGAGACAGTAAACAGAGGTGTGAGACAAAGGAATAGTAGTAACGAAGAACAAAACAGTTTCATTGGAAATCATAAGTCACAAAGAGTGGATGCATCTGCACCATCATTGAGAACAATTTTGAACCATATCACCGATTGTTTCCAGTCATTGGTGTTTACCGTCTCGAGGACCCCGACAAGTCAGGAAGTCTACACCTCCCTACGTGGCTGAAACTAACTGTTGCGGGTTTCATTGACTGATGAAGCCACGTTTTGGTTTGACCACTACTGGCTTTTTCCCAGTCTGACCCTATGTCAGCTAACACTGCCCGTTGAGGAAGGCGATGGGTAGACATACGTAGCACATGTCCTAACTATCTCAATCGGTGTCGATTGATTTCTCCTCCTTACCTAGCACTCGACGCATAACCTCAGTATTGCTTACCCTATCATTCCACTTCACACGGGAGATAGAACGCAAACACCTATGATCAAAGACAGCCAGCCTTGTGATGTCTTCCACTCTCAACGGCCAGGTCTTGTTCCTTATGCTAAGTGCAGTAGATTTCCAGAGTGATTTCAGAATAATGAAAGTCTACCTTTGCGACAATTATAAAGTAATGTTAGATGGCTGTAGAATACTAACTGCATAACACAAAGACAATTATCTCACCGTAAACAGTTAAGCAAATTAAGAAATATTGCTCTTTCCATAACTTTTCGTTTTTGTTAGTACTATTTTATGTGAATTGGTTTGTAAAAGTTATCATGGTAACAAAAGCAACATAAACATACACAGGTGACCAACCTTTTTTGAAGCTGTTTTAACGTTTGTTCAGCAGAATCCAACTTTTCTTGTTTCTTACCAGCTGGTTGTTTTTCAGAATTACTTGATGCATGACAAAACCAATGTGAGAGGCTGGCAACTGAAATGCACAATAATCCTAGCGATAATGTGACAAAGGATACATTTACCGATGAGAACACTGAGTCTATTTATTGAGGAATAAAAGAACAAAGGAAAAATAAACTGCTTGATAACTAGGATATTAGAAGCTAAATAGATATCTGGTTAGCACAAAATTATGTGAATCTCTACAAATATTACTGGAAAACATGTTCAACATAAAACGAAAAGCTCAATATTATATATATTGATTGAATGTAGTACACAGTTCTCGCACTGTTTTAACTCAGTCACCCGGAACTAATCTCTCATGTACCACAGAGACGCTACCTACATTTATTGTGTGAGGGCTGATGATACCACCCAATTAACAAGAGTTCTTCAGTGGTAAAATACTCGCCAACCACGCTACACGTGATCTGGAGTCTGATCGCTGGTCGACGCTTATTCAGAAGTGAGCCCGGTAAAGAGGCGAGGTTGTATATGTGAGGATAACAGCCCCACCCCGTAAAAAATAAAAACACCATTGCTACTTAGACTTCAAAGTTCAAGCTTGAAGCCCTGTGTCCCACACAGGACGGCAAAGGATTCCAACCAAGGACCTAAGGCCTGAAAACAAAATGTTTAAACCAAATAGTGATACATTATTATTATTATTATCAACTGAATGACACTTAAAGCATAATTTATTTACTTATGATACCAAACCAACCCCGTAGTTCTTAAATTTACTTTATTAATGCTTTATTACCGTGCACTATACAGAATAAACTGATTTAATAATAGGATTATACTCCAATGAGGTGTCGAAGTTCTACTCTTAATTATAAAGTCAGACGACAAGTGAAGTCACAAACTTTCGTGTTCTTAACACTTTTTTTTCCTTCACGTTCCCCAGTGGAACATAGGGCTTCAAGTCAGTGGCTTGAAGATTCTGTAGCAGTGTTTATTTTACAGGATGGGGTTGCTAGCGTCATGCCCAACCTTTCCTCTTTACCAGTCTCACTACTGGCTTAGCGGGGTAAAGGAGTGCGTCGGCCGGGAATCGAACCCCGAACCATGTACATGGTCGGCGAGCGTCCTAACCACTATGCCACCGACGCACATCGTGTTCTTAACACTTTTACTGAACTGTATTCTTTTCGACAGTTTCCTCTTCCAGCTTTACTATTATATATATATATATATATATATATATATATATATATATATATATTGAGGATCATTCAAACCTTGATGGCCAAGGTAAAGAAAGCGTCTGAACTATTTTTTTGGATGTATAAATTAAGCTCCTTAATGTAAATTCCAACGGCCTCGGTAGTATGTAACAGAAGAACTCTTGGGGTAAAATTAAGATTAGTTCGTATACGGTAGATGACTTTGAAAGCCTTGTTTACATCAGTTTTGTGTTCTGTATCAACGAGATGAGATAATATAGAACTATAAATGGACTTTGGTTGTACCTTCTTTAAGCACACAAGATGGTGTTCGGAAATCCGACGATAAACACCCTGATTGTAAGGCCTACGTGACTAGCTCAACAGGAGCAGCCAAATTGATAAATACACATAAAAGAGACGAAATTGGGCAATTTATCTTTAACTCCTGAATGCAAAATAGAGGTGGTTCTGAAGAGACAGCATACTGCAGAGGCATTGAATGCTGTTTTCTATCGAATCCAAAAGAAATTGGTCCAGGCACTGTCCTTACCCTACTAGTCATCAAGGTTTTAATGATCCTCAATTTGTTGTAGAGACTTCTTTAATTTTATTTGATACTGTTTTTACTATTACATTTGTATGCTTATTAAATCTTAAGCATCTTTCTTGAACTGTAGCTTCTTTGATCTTCACAAATCGATATTATTTTAAAAACACCGATAGTGTTAATGACGGTTGCTCGAGAATACTCCCTCTCTTTCTCTCTCTCTCTCTCTCTCTCTCTCTATATATATATATATATATATATATATATATATATATATATATATATAATTGTAGAGCCGGAAGAGGAAATTGTCGAAAAGAATATTGTTTGATAGAATTTTCCTTTTCTTCTAAATGTCTGGATGAATATTTTCGCTACATTTAAATCCAAGAGCAAGATAAAATTAATGTATATATGGTACATTGACATTTTCACTACATTACGACCTATCTGAAAAGATAAGTTGAGGAAAATTTTCGAGTAAAACTACATATCACTGGTTATATAGCCCGGTGGTTGCCAATTCGGCTGTTTCAAGCTGTACACCTACGCTTTTCTAAATATTTACATTCAACTTCATCGAAAATCTCGGTTACAATACTAATAATAGCGTATAATTCTAAGCGATGAATGTATCAAATTTCAGGCAATTTCAATTCATGTCAGCGTGTATCAAGATAACAGTGTGTACTATAATTCATACAACATTCAAATATAATCTAAACGTTTTCAGTGAAATGCTAGACCATAGAAAAACACAGTTTAGAAAACTGCATGCTTGTGAAACAACTTTAAGTGGCGCATTTCATCATTTTACACAGAGATAAGATGAGAGCACATTGGAATTTGGTGTCACATACACCTTATTCTACCTTATCTTTTCATACAGTGTCAAGGTTGATATTGATTCAAATTGCACAACACTCATAATAACCTTTTCAGTTTGCTAATTGGATGAAAGTGCATAGCCTCATCAAGTGGCTTTGTTCATTTATCTATTACTATACTCTTAATATCAATATTATTTCACAACATACGATATCTACAAAAGTGTAAAACTATATATTACTTATTGACTGAAATGAGTATCTGTATACTACTCATACCGAACAGTAGTACTTGTTAGCAAGATCGAGGTGATCTAAACAGTGGACGGCCTTTTGGCTCGTTTGGAACAAGGCTCATTAGCGGTGTACCCAGTTTTGACTCAGCTGAGATAGTTGAGTCAGTTCAACTTTTGGCTAGCTAATTGAGCGGACCGGTAACGCTACAAACCAAATACAAACTCTGAATCAAAACCCCGTACAACGTTGATGACCTCTGCCCCAAACGTGCAAAACAGCCATCCGGCATTTAGACCACCTTGATCTAGCTAGCAAGCACTACTGGTTGATATAGGCGGTGTACAACTACTTATCTCAAGCAATCAGTTAGTTAGATCTCAATTAGCCAGTACCGGCTATAAGCCACATTTGAAGTGTGGTGGTCAGTGACACCACTAAGTTGCTCAGGCTGAAGTATGTGAGGCGAGATTCGAACCCAGCCCCACTGACTGAAATTAGTACCATTTATGGTATCAAGCAGAGCACATACTGTGATCTGAATAATTTTGTCTCCAAAGAAAACTGTGGTGAAAATTTCACCCGTCAAACTGTGCACACTGTAAACTGATAACTAATTTCCAGATTGTGAATGTGAAGCCTATGGATTTCTGAAGTCTTCGATTTTCCACGATCATGCATCACAGTTATAAATTAGTAAGTCTCTACTAATATACAGTAAAAGTTCCTTTGGCAGATAACTGAATATCCTTGAAAATTGTATGATGCCCCGAAGGACTCAGAATTAAAAATCCCCCATAAACGGTGTCAAATTACACCCAAAATTGTTCAAAAAAGTTTAAATAACACTGGAATACTATGACTGACAAGACTGAAAACTTTACATAAAATCAATAAAAATAACTAACGCCTTGGAGGTCCGAATAGGATGATATCTAGAGCCCGAAGCATCAGCTTTTTCTTGTGAATTGGATTTTGAATTCGCAGTACATCTGTTAAGTAACTCATATTTTGCATAGCCAGGCTAGAAAAGCAAAAAAGCAAGTAAGCTCAAGCATATATGTCTATCAGGAATAAACTTCATACCAGATAAAAAAAGAGAAATATTAAATTTATTTCAAAAAAGGAATGAAATGTTAAAGACGTAATGGGTTATAATTTTAGTCAGAACATATCAAATATGTCAATTGTTAGCTTTCGTCATGAACCCATAGCACTTAGAGACTCATGAAAACCACGGAGTACTGGGCGGAAGTTTCGTCCTATCCTAGAACTCTTCACCAGTACGCACCCACAACCCAACCAAGAATTGGACCTGGGACCTACAGGTTACGAGACCAAGATCGTTGACCATTCAACGGTGTGGGGCGGAATTCAGTGACCTGAGAATTGTTTGTCAATTCATGATAGAGCGCCACTCTCAACCAATACCTTCGATGAGCATCCACTCTCACCTTGAAATGGTGGACCCCACTGACCACGACTTCTCCCTACGGCTTCAGGATATGCATCCAGTAAATACTATTGGGCTGGAGATTGATATTTGGATTAATTTCAATAGTTAGATTTTGTCGCCAACCAACATCAGTCAGAAATCATGAAAACTAGAGAGCATTGGATAACCGATTCAGCCTAGACCGGGGCTCTTCATCGGTATTCACAAACTATATATATATATATATATATATATGGGCTTTCATCATCACACCAATTCAAACTGGAACGAAGGGAACAAATCCCTGTTTATACCGAAATAAAAATCTTCTTTGCATGAAAGCAAACGGAAACAAACACCCTTGATATCCAGTTTCAAATCAACACAATAGACACAGTCATAAACGGGGACATCACTGCTTTGAAATAAACTTGACTTGTCTGCCTGTCCAACAATCAATCACGTTAGGTGGTTTAATAAGGTAATTAATGCTGACGTTAGGCGTAGTGTTGGGTAAAGAGGGAAAATCAATCGACGAGGCTATAAAGTTACATAGATTGAGATGGCTAGGTCACGTGCTGCGCATGCCTAACCATCGCCTCCCCCCACCGACGGGCATAACTAACTGATATAGGTCCAAGTTGGAAAAGAGCCAGTGGTGGCCAAACAAAAACATGGCCTCATCAATCCATGAAATCCTTGACAGTTAAACTGAGTGAGTCAGGTAGGCAGATGCAGACTTCCGGGTTGGGGCCATCGGGACTGACTCTAGGAATCAATGGCTGGAGACAATAGGTGACATGGCTCAAAATCGTTGTCAATGGCCAGCGCAGATGTATTCAGTCTCTGTAATCTTTCATATTTCTTTCTACCATTACCCATTCTGTTGCACTCGTATACTTGTCAAACTCTATTGATTCTCTTCACTCATCTTCTTGTCTACTTTTGTGTGCTATTTGGAACGTGGCAACTCGAACTGGTGCACTTCGGTGCCAAGTTCTATGTTGAATCCAGACAGACAGACAGAATCATAAGGTCATAAACTTCAAAACAAGAAAATCACGTAATGATAGCTAAATAAGAACTAAGGGATTCAATTACTTTAACCTGTAGTCGCATTAGTAATCACAAGTGTTTTTAAACACCATAATTTGTAGGTTAAGTTGCCAATAAATAGTAGCTTAATATTTTTGTAGACCAAAATAATATTTCTTCATCATCGTTGTTTTTTAAGAAGCAGCTCGACACGCCTCACAATACTTATCATGAATTTCAAAAGAGTTGTTAGTGAAAAAAGAATATTCTTTTCGATAAATTCTTCATCAGGTACTACGGCTATATATCCATAATAGTTTTTTTTAAAATATCAAATTATTAAGGTTAGAAACATGTGTATGTGACGAAATACATGAATATCAGTTCAACTGATCCCGTGGAGCCAGTTATATCGGTCGTTGTTCCAGGAACTTGATAGTTTGTGTTTAAAACACCTACTAGTGAGGTCAAATAAAGGCGTAGTAAAATTCATTAACAGAGCATCTGGTACAAACAAGGCATAAAGCCAGCAGTGGAACTTTTTTTCCATCATCTGCCGTGTACTGAATAAACCGCCAAAAGACTCTACATACCGAACATTCCAAGCAACGGAAGTCATAGCGGTTTGCGTACAAAAGAAACAGGTTCAATCACTATTATTACCTCAACCTGCTGCGAAAACCATGAATTCATAAATTTTGTATTATTTTTCTGATATTAAATTTAGTGTCATATTCACGCATACCATCACAAACACATATTTCAAAATATAGTCTATTACTCATAAGGATTCAATGTTATTTTAAGAAGACATTCATGTTTTGATTGGATGCTAGTAACTAGTGTGACGTTTCTAGTCCTTTCTTTGGTGCAGACTGAATTTTATCAGTCAGGTTTGCAATGTGGTCACCATTCTAGGTAGCTGGACATCACGGTGCACATTGATTTGATGATAATAGATGGTTAGAGGCAATTGGCAGGAAGCCTTGGACCTAGGTTTCGTGCTAGTTGGAACTCGTCAGATCCACTACAGTCCTACAGGAGGTCAATCGCGAGCCCGAATAGCTCAGTGGTAACGTCTCTGACTGCAGCACTGGGTGACGCGGGTTCGAATCTAAGAAGGGACATGAGTTCCTTCAAGGTTGCAGATACACCTTGCTGACGAGTGCCAACTAGCACAAAACCTAGGTCCAAGGCTTCCTGCCGATTGCCTCCAACCATCTAATATCATCAAAGACATTCATGTTATCAATAATATTTACCCTTCAAATATTATAAGTATATATAAACTGTAAGGCCAGAAGAGGAAGTTATCGAAAAGAATACTCGTTGTTCACTAATCAATCCTTGTAAATTTATCATAAAACAAAATGTAACACAGTGCAATTGTTAAAATATGGAAGATAAAGAGAACTTAGTAGCCAAGAAATGACTGAAACAAGAGCAGTTGTGATTAAGTTTTCAATTCTTCTTCAGAATTCTTAACATCTCATACTATAATGATTGCAGACATTTACTCAGCTCAAAGTAATAACAATCTTCATATATATAACAGTTCTTACACCACAAAAAAATTATCTGAGACCCATTCTTCAGGTTTTAGCTAGCAAAATAACGAGCTCGCCTTGTAACCGGAAGGTCCTGGGTTCGAATGCCGGTGGGTGCGTACTGCTGAAGAGTCCCAAACTAGGACGAAACATCTGTCCAGTACTCCCAGGTTTTCCAATGGTTCTCTAACTAATGTCAGCTCATGATGAAATCCTGAAACCAATCAAATCCCTACAAACCAACACTTGAAAATAATGAATATTACAAAACACATATAAAGCATATCATACTGTTAGTGAAACTCTAACATTATATAATGTTCATTTATGACTACACTACATGAAATTGTGCAAATTTTTAATTAGTTTTCAACAAAGCGCTGTACAGTTTTCTTAAAAGGAAAGTAAGAAAAAAATATCGTAGAGAAGTGAATCTTTTCTTTATAGGGAACAACACTGAATCACATGATATACTGCAACAAGAATATTTTACTTGTCGATTCTGTACAAAGAAGAAATATTCTGCAACTAAATACACTGAGAATTTCTGTACAATGTGTTAACATACTGTCTAAAATAAAGCTCTATTATTATTATTATTATTATTATTATTACCATTACTCATTACGTATGAGAACAATATTTCATTATTACAAAAGGTAGGATTCGAAATATCTACATATGCGGCTGTACTTTTAACAAATGTGTTGAAAGAGGAATACACTTTACCAGTGTAAAACAATCGATATAAGACATTCTGAATTGTATTCATTGTTAAAAAGATAAAATAAAACAAATAGATGGCCTAAGACACATGTAACATCCAGTCATAAGTTTCAATTCATCTATTCAACTATGTATTATTCATAAACCGAAAATAATATGTGAAAGAGATGATAATAATAACAATAATATCAATAATTACAACATCCCAATAATACTGGGAATTTACCGAGGTAGTGAACGTCCATCCACATGATGTTGACGAAATACATCAGCATATTGAGGAAGATCTACTGGACCCGTTAACCATTGAATGGTATCTTTTACAGTCCAGTTAAATGCTGTAATCATGAAAATTTAAACACCAAATATCAGTATATATTATTATTAAGGGTGAAACACTTATTATTTAAAGACTATTCCCAAATAAAGGGAATGCAAAATTTTAACGCCAAATACTCATCCTCTATAAATAGAAGATATAACATACTTCTAACTAGTGTATGACACGGCCATTGAAAGTGGAAGGTATGAAAACGCTAATTGTTTTTGACCACAAATGTTTGCATTTTCTCTCTTGTGCTAAGTGGTATAATACGATGAGTGATATTGAGGTTCACTGTAGAGTGCCACATAGGAAGGGAAGGTCAGTCAATGAGGTTGTGAAGCTAAGTCGATTGAGATGGCTAGGATATGTGTTACTCGTGTCAAGTCACCGCCTTTTTGATGCAGGATTGAGTTGGAAAAAGATTAGGGATGGTCAAACCAAACCAAACTTGGTATCAGTCCATGGAGTCTTTAGCAGTTGGTTAGAGCCAGGTAAGGCGGAATAGACTATCTGGTCAGAGTCCTCAAAATGCTAACAACCAATGCCTGGAGACTGTCACTGACTAGGCCCGAAATCGTTAGCAGTGGCACAGACGTATTCACTCCCTGTAGTCTTCCATATCCACTAAAGTGCCAGGTGTTTCCATGTTTCTTTTCTTTTCTCTATACATTTCGTCTCACTATAGTTCTTACGAGTTGATCACGGATTGATATCAGTTAGACGACCATTGTAAACCAAGGAGTACTGAACAACTGTTTCATCCTAGTTTCGGAATCATCGGTAGTACGCACCCACTGGGGTTCAATCCCAGCACCTTCTCATTACAAGGCAAACTCGTAGACCATTCAGCCACTGGGACCTAATTAAATGGCCAGCCCGTGAATTCTAACTCCCATTAACGACATTGGTTGGCGTCGCGCTAAATCACGAATTGGTAGAAGTTAGAATTCATGAGCTATTGAATTGGGTCCCAGTGGTTGAATGGTCTACGGGCTTGCCTTGTAACCGAAGGTCCTGGGTTCGAACTCCAGTGGGTGCGTACTACCGATGATTCCGAAACTAGGATGATGCAGTTGTCCAGTACTCCTTGGTTTATAATGGTCGTCTAACTGATATCAATCCGTGATCAACTCGTAAAAACAAAACTAATCCTTACAGACCAACTGTATAACATTATGGTTCTCCTGAATCTCTTTTTCTGTCTTCTCCATGTTTTTGTGCAACATAGTGTGACAACCTGAACTATTGCACTAATATGCAAAGTTCTATGTTGATACTTAGTCAGTTAGTATTTCCTCCTTAGATAAACAATGATCATATTAACTTTGATATTAACAAGTTGATGAACCCGCCATATTTAATACTTTCAACCTTGTTATTCCTTTCCATCTGACAGAAAGTCAATAAAAATTCAAGGAGAAACTAGCGATTTGTCCCCGTTCTAATTTATAACCATTAAAAATCAGCACTCATGATCCTGCTAGAGATCAAGTTTAGGACTGTCAAATTTCATAAAGTGCACATTGTTATTTAAACAGTAGGTTAGAATCCAATGACCTGAGTGCGTATTGCCTAAAATCTCATAACCACTAATGATCCTGTTTGCCTAAAGCATTTAGATTGTAACATGGTGATATGTAACAAACCTGAATACACAAAATAACAAGCAAGAATTCTGTGAAATAGAATTGGATTATTGTGTGAAACAGAAAATGAATTTTATTATAACCCTGAACACCTGTGTAAGACGGATATTTACTGACAGTTACACCTCGACGTAAACGTCAGACACAATCACTAGTGAATTAGTCATCTATTTTAAGAGAAGTACGGATACTTTATCAGCATAATAATTGGATATAACATCACCTTCGAACACCAGTAGTAATCAAGAAAACTCCACAATCAGACTTTTCCTTTAGGAGAAAAATATGTAGTCCACTATAGACCTGAGTACAAAGTTACATAATTCATATTCCAAAGCGCCTATCACTTTGCATAAGTAGATAAAAGCAAAGGAACGGGGTTATGTGTTGAAAATTATTGAGACATTTACGTAAAAGACTATAGAGACAGTTATATTGCAAACCTTAAATTGAGTATCAAAGTAATGAAATTCTCACACACCTACAAGTTGGAAATTAATCCACTGATCACTATTTACTGACTAGGGGATGAAATTCCAAGAGTTCTGATGAGAAGTTATAACCGGTGCGGTGTGAAGACATGCTCATCAATGACATACATCAGAGTTCGTGCTATGTTACCAATCGACAGCAAGTGATTTATGCGGTCACTAGACTTCCACCCATGGACTGAAATATACATTCGCCTAATAACTTGTAGGCAATGGGTTCCATTTCTGCTGGTGGCATGGATGAATACTGAAGAGTCCCAAAATGGAACGAAACAAACGCTTAATGCTCCCTAGACTTAATGGATTTCAAACTGATATATATCGGTTAAGAAATCTGTGCTGAATAGGTGGCATTCCCGTAAACTTAACTCCTGAAAATAGTAATTGATAATCCTCATTAACAGAAACATGAATTGGACATAAACCCGACCTTATTAATACCTTTAATTCACTGTATAAAATACATCAAACTCGGATACTTCGCTTTCCTAGGACATTATTCCATCCCATATGTTAAAAATGAATCGTTTTTCACTCTTAAAACAACCTGGTGATAATACGAAGTAGGAGTGGTTTAGTAACATTATTCGCTTAACTGATCCTATTGACCTTAAAATAATTTCATTTGTATAAAGTGTTTAAACAGTTAAATCTGATTAGACTCCCAAGAATTTCACTTCATAAACCGCTATACATTACTGATATACTTTTTCTTCTTAATAAAGTGCACAGAAGACAAAGTAGTCAAACCTAAAAGTACTAAATTAATGATGGGCTAAATTGCCTTAAGAGACAACTGAAATTTCAGTATACCAATGAAAAAACTGGTAACCGAACAGTCATCCCAACGAAAAAAAGGCCGAATAGATGTATTTCAGAAAAATAGTTGGTTATTGTTGTATGCTATAATATTACTGGCTGATTGAGATGACTAGATGGATACTACACACGCATCAACCAGAAGTGCTTGCCAGCCAGCCGGATTGGAGTGATGTACTCACTGGACTGCTGTTTCGCTCATTTGGTTTGAATTGATTTGTCTCTCTGAGCTGAATCAAACCACGTACACGCTGATGAGCAGGGCCTTAAACGGCTGTCCAGTGTTTAGATGACCTCGATGTGACTAGCTAGCAAGCACTACTTACTGATATGAGTGGCATACAACTACTCATCTCAATCAATCAGTAGTATGTAGTTCTGTTTTGTCGGTGGCACGGCGGTAGAATGGTCGCCAACCATGCAGGTGGTCCGGGGTTCAATCCCCGGCCGACGCACTTCATTACCTCGCTAAGCCAGTAATAAGACTCGTAAAGAGGGAAGGTTGGACATGAGGCTAGCAACCCCATCCCATAAAAATAAATACCACTGCTACTGAAATTTCAAAGATCTAACTTGAAGCCTCATGATCCACTCAGAACGTATATATATAGTTCTGCTACAGTAACAGTAACTGCACCTTGCTAATGAAAACAGTAAAAGTTACTGTACAAAAATAGTGATCTCGCAAATTTATTCAAAGAGGGTGAGGCTGCTAGTTTCACGTCCAACCTTCCCTCTTTTCCTAAATTACTACCAGCTAGTTAACTAGGCGAGGTTTAGGATTACATGAGATAGGAGTCGAACGTGGTTGAACCACTGACTCACTGTCAACAATAAGAAGAAACAAAAATTATATAACATCATGGCTAAATAAGTCTTTTTTCTTAAAAAAAAACATGACTCACATATCTTCATTAGCTTCGTCAACGCCATACATTGCATTTGGTGTTTTACTGGAAACGACCAGGTTATCGCTTGCATCTCGTCGTTTCGCCCGCTCACGACGTTTCAATTCATATATCACAATAATTATAAGCAAAATTGATATCTCCAAGATTATACCAATTAGAGGCCATAAGGGAGCCCGACGATCTGCAATACAGAGAATATATATACACATATACTATATATACATGCTACCGATGCGGGTGTTAGAGAAGGTAATACTGAGTTATTACTATAGCTAGAGGATTTCACTACCCCCTACTTATTACTATAACAAAATATCCAGAATTTGTATACACATTCTTCTACGTACAACTTACTGTCTCAAAGGTTTAAAGGAATCGAAAAAGAAAAAATAAGAGTTCTTATCGTCAAGGTGTTAAGATGTCAACGAATCGGTGTCCAAGGAAACTTTAAATCCTACCCAAACCTTACACTGCTCTGATAAGAGATGAAGCTTACCGGAATAAAAATATAAAAACAACTTTTATCAATTATTCAAAATGCAGAGCCAATAGTTTTCACCAAAAGTATTCCCATTGTCAAATCCATGTTTACTTATTGTATTATTATTCTTTGCAATTAATAGTGTTGTCTGAGCTGGTTGGTTTATTTGCGGAGCTTTCGTCGTCTTTCTGGACGACATCTTCAGCGCAGTATTTAGCATAAAGTCAAATGATTTAAAATCTCCATGAATGATGATAGAATTGTCTCCTGGTGACCAACCATCTTTACATATGTATTGACTGTTTTCTATTGATTAGGGTTTTAAACTTTCTGGTCACCTGATTTACTTTTTATTATTTGATATATTTCATCTATATTAACGTGTTTATTAATTGCATTTCCGTTTGAGTACCAGGCTTCTAGGAACTCCCTGGCATATTTGGTGTCTCCTCTGTCTAAGATTTTGACATTATCCCTATCAAATTGATGTCCATAATTGTCTGTATGCATTGATACTACAGAATTTATATCAAGTCTTTTCACGGCTGACTTGTGTTCTTGGATTCTTATTCGAAGGGGACACCCACTTTGGCCTATGTAATGTTTGTTACAGTTCATACAATTTATTTTGTAAATGGTGTTAATTTTATCTCCTTTTTCTATCGGATCTTTTGGTTTGCTTAAGATCGAATTAAGCGATTCGGTTGGTTTGTGTGCTACATTTATATCAAACGGTTTCATTATTATTCTATTTTCGTGTAGGATTTTTATGAAATATGATAGCTTAAACTGATACACTTCTGTGCTGATTTCCACACTAATGTTTCAGTGTAGTAGTGACAATAATAGATTCACAAAACAATCTACCTAAGATTGTAAAGTGTGCATGGCATTTAGTATTAGGTGCGAATATCTGAAAATAATAAACCTTGATGAGGCGGGATGATGTTGCTTATTCCCCTGACCACTCACTCGGCTCCGAATGAAACGGGCTTCGGATTCCAAATTCTGCTCCACCTATTTTTACCTGGGGTTATGAACGGGTTGTATCATCAGTCATTAAAATGATAAACGTGGATCATAGGCTAGTAAATTGAAAATCTGTTTCGGGACACTGAATTCTGACAAGTTGTGATGAAGTACAGGATGAATAAAAACATGCTGCAGAAACTAATTAGCTACTTTAGGCTGAATACAACTGATTTTTGTAGTCGACTTTACTAGAAAGAACGACTGCATGTTTGAAGATCGTGCAGCCAAGGGTTATTTTTGATGAACAACAACAGTGAGAACTTTCGACTTAATTTCGCTTCTATCTCATTCCCTAAGTATTTGTAGACATAAGATCTACCCACAATATAAGGTTATATCTTTTTCACATTTTCTACGTTAAATGACATCTAATCCAACGTAGGGTACATCCATTCCACTGCCTTCATAAGGTGGAAGTGTTCCTCAAAATAAGCGAAAGGGTGATTGCGAACGTCTACCGCTTACAGCCAGACTGGTGGACATTCTAGTTTACTTAAGGAAGCTGAAAAACCCTGATTATTCAATAGTAATGTTAGACATCGGCTTCAGAATCCAGTCGAATCGGATATCATATGAACCTGTTTCGGCCGCCGGAAACAATGGGAATGTAGCTCCTAACGATGCTCCACTGATTTGTGGATCACAATTCAAGTCGAAGATTGGAATAGTGGTCTTTTAAGACTACCGCCTACTCCGGTCTAAGCGTCCGGGGAGTATCCCAGCTTTCGCACAATCTATGAGATTTTATGTGGCTCATCGCTTAGTGTCCGAAATGTACTAAGTTTGTGATTTAATAATCGTAAAATTTAACATCAAAATGACGTCTTTTGGAGCTTAAAAAGTCGATAAAAAGGCATGCTGATGCGTACAGCGTGACAGTCAAGACATTTACAATTCAGGGTTCATTTTCTCTGCACGTAAAGCAAAAGCCGAAGTGAAATCGGAAGGAATGAAGGAAGTGTAGGACTGACTGATTAACTGGGACGCTCGAGAGACAATGGCTTGAGACTTATTATAGATGGTTCAAAATTGTTCGCAGTGGTAAAGATGCATTCACTACTTATAACTTTCAAGATCCATTAAATAGCCATATTATCTTCCATATGCACACTTTTCCTGCCGTACATTTCCATTCATTATAATTACTTTGAATACTCTCTACCTTTGTGTGCCATAAATGTGAGCAGCACTGACGTCACATTGGAGTTGAAAATCCGGATCCTGATTTCTCATGCTGAGTGCCAAATCACCTTTCGATCGACGCTGTCGAATGCCTTTTCAAAGTCGATGAAGTTGAGATAGAGAGGTGATTGCCATTCCAAGTTTTGTTCAATGATGATCCGTAGTGTGGCGATTTGATCAATACATGACTTGTTTCTCCTGAATCCAACCTGTTCCGGTCGAAGTTTTTCATCCAGGTTGGCTTGTTTGATTCTCTCCAGGATGATTCGGCTTGGTATTTTGCTTGGGATGGACAGGAGCATAATTCCGCGCCAGTTTTTACATTGACTTAAGTCTCCTTTCTTTGGTAGTTTGAATAAGTATCCTTTCTTCCAATCCTCGGGTACTTTGCCCTCTTTCCACACCTTCTCCAGTAGTGGTGTCATCAAGTCCGCTGTTGTATCTGGGTCCATATTTAATGCTTCTGCTTGCATTCCATCTGGTCCTGACTGACTTTACATTGGTGTTGATTCAGCCTAATTTTATTTCGGTTATTCATCAGTGAAATTATCTTGCATAGGTTCGCATTTAGTCACAGAAATTCACTGATCACTAGTAAAGTGATTGGAAATGATAATAAATTTGCGAGATCACTATTTTTGTACAGTAACTTTTACTGTTTTCATTAGCAAGGTGCAGTTACTGTTACTGTAGCAGAACTATATATATACGTTCTGAGTGGATCATGAGGCTTCAAGTTAGATCTTTGAAATTTCAGTAGCAGTGGTATTTATTTTTATGGGATGGGGTTGCTAGCCTCATGTCCAACCTTCCTCTTTACGAGTCTTATTACTGGCTTAGCGAGGTAATGAAGTGCGTCGGCCGGGGATTGAACCCCGGACCACCTGCATGGTTGGCGACCATTCTACCGCCGTGCCACCGACAAAACAGAACTACATACTACTGATTGATTGAGATGAGTAGTTGTATGCCACTCATATCAGTAAGTAGTGCTTGCTAGCTAGTCACATCGAGGTCATCTAAACACTGGACAGCCGTTTAGGGCCCTGCTCATCAGCGGTGTACGTGGTTTGATTCAGCTCAGAGAGACAAATCAATTCAAACCAAATGAGCGAAACAGCAGTCCAGTGAGTACATCACTCCAATCCGGCTGGCTGGCAAGCACTTCTGGTTGATGCGTGTGTAGTATCCATCTAGTCATCTCAATCAGCCGGTAATATTATAGCATCTTGCATTTATGTATGCTTGTTTTCTTGATTACCACTTCCGGCGTCAATCGGTTCACATATCTGAATAATTTCAGTTCCCTAGGGGGAACTGTGGTGAAGTTTCACCTCGTCGGACTGTGTAAACTGCGAACTAATTGTTAAATTGCAACTTTGGTTTACTATTTGAATGATTTATATTGCTTTCCTTTTATGCTTTTCCTTTTTTAATCACAGCCCACACACATTGTGAAACTTAAATGGTCTTAAAGTATGATGTATTGGTGTTCTTTGTTCTTCCCACATTCATATCAATATTAGAACTGCTGCACTTCCGTAAAACGTCCTACGTTGAAAAATCGGTCAATAAGTAGCTATTATTGGGCATCTTTTTCGCCTCAATACATCAATCTTCTCAGTTATCGATCCGACACTGACTGATATGAATCTTCGACCAACCAATCCAGTCTCAACAGGGTATTCGCCCTTTCTATATGAATTCATACTACTATTAAGACACCTACACAACTATTAATATGCACATACATGAATACAGCCATCACAATAAAAACATCACTAAAAAACTATTTTTGATTTACCACACTCCACTTTAATTCAATTTCAACAAAAATACGAATTATTGAAATCTTCTTCAACAAAACAAAATGCTGACAAACCTTTTACTCGTAAATAAAATGCTGCAGTATCATTGCCAAGTGCTCCACGAACAAAACATGAATAAACAGCTCTATCGTCTGGTTGTATTGAATCGAATACAATTTGATCATTGGATATATTTTTAGTTTCAAAATGTATACGATTTTCACTGTCATAATCTTGTATATAAGCTTGCCCATTACTTTGTATAGTTATAGGAACATCATTTCTAACCCATGTAATAGGTTCAGTAATTGGTGGATAGGCAACAACATCGCATAAGAAAGTATATTTTACACCAGAATACGGATTTACACTACGTTCATATTTGTGTATCAATGGTGGAACTTGAAATACAACGCCGACGCATAATTAATTAATGCAGTATGAAAAAAAGAGAGAGGAAACAGAGAAAACATTAAATTTGATATTTTGTTTTTCACATTTCATAATTATCATTTGTTCGTAGATGGTTAGAGGCAATCAGAAGGAAGTCTTAGATCTAGTTTTCGTGTTTGTTGGCAATCGTTGCGAAGGCATATCTGCAATCTTGAAGGGACTCATGTCGCTTCTGTGATTTAAATTCAGCTAACCCATAGTTGCAGTCAAAGACGTTAACCCTAAGCTACTCGGGCTAGCGATTAACCTCCTGAAGGACTGTAATAGATACTCGATAGTAACTATCGTCATTTGTCAAATTAACATTTAAACAAATCTGATATAATGATAACCTCAAACACTATTACAGTAGTCAGAATGAACATAGAAGTTGACTCTGACCAGGTCATGAAGACTATACAATTCAGTTCCAACTAATTAGTTAGAAGCAGTTAAATCAAAACGTGGCAAAAATCCATTAAAATTCTCTGATTAGTAATTTGAGGAATGTAGGAGTCAATGTCGGCTCATTACGGTCCTCAGAAGGTCAACAATCAGTGTTTTGAGACTCTTTGTGGCATACCTTCGAATTGTCCAAAACGAAGCCAACATATTCAAGTTTTAATACTATCAAGACTGTGAACATTTTCAATTTACGCTTATTTAATCATTTTCTCTCCATTCACACTCGTTGATTTTCAACATTTTCATTTTTTTTCATTTACGTACATTCTTTCAGAGATTTGCAAGTTGAACTGATAGATAAATATGAAAGATTTTGCGTTGATCTACCTCTCCTACTTTAAATAAACACTAGGATACTGTTTACCAGAGGTGGGAAACATAAATTACTGGGTGAAAGCATTTGGAGATATGAATCAAAATGTCACGATTACTGAGATGCTTTTCCCCCATCCCATCTCGCCCCGGGTAATACATGCTTTTACATCTCACCCACTTATCATCTTCTTTTTGGTGTGTTCCACGCGTGTCACTAGTTTCTCACAACTGTCAAAGTTGTTACGCATACCACTTGCCTTTTGTAAAATTAGTCTGTTTATTAGACATATAACATAGCAAAACAGAATTATTTATAGCGTGACATTTTGAACACAATTTATTTATTCTTCACAATCATGTCAACAATGAATTAGTTCAAAACGTAATGCAGTGTTTGAACTCATTTCTAGGAATAAATCTCATGTTCCAGACGATGAACCGCACACACATTATGTGAGGGCTGTCCAGTTTGAAATAGGTGGAGTAGGATTCAAGCCCAGGAGCCACTGGCTGAAAGTCAAGCACTTGAATCAATGAACCACATCTTCAAATTCAAAGAGAACTGAACAGCTGATTCGTCCTAATCTGTGACTCTTCGCCAGTACGCTCCCAGGGATCCCCACGGAGGATCGAACCCAGGACCATAAGGTTATAAGGTGAATTCATTGACCAACCATTGGAGTGCCACCCAGTAAATAGTCCTGTTTCACTCTCTGTTGCATATCCAATAAACAAATTAATTTGAAAAAAAAAAAGTAGATTATGCTGAATGATTAGCATGGCTGTAAGCAACTAAAGGAATATATGAAGCACACCAAAACGAGACGATAAACATGATATATATATATATATATATTATATATATATATATACAAATTAACTTGGAATTACTGACTCCCACCGTCAGTAAGTGTTACACATATATTACTTTCACTTGTCTTTTTTTATTGTTTCCTCTTCATAAGCATACTTTCATACAAAATGCAATCGTGTTAAAATCTTACAGTCTAACAGGTACCCACCCATAGTCAAAAAAAGAAATTCACTAGGGATATGAGATTTATTCAAAATAGCGTATGATTGATTGTCTGATAACATTTACTAGTGTATTTAATAAATGTAATTCACAAATGATGCGTAAATTTAAAGTTATCCAAATGAATCAATTACTCTGTTCGAAATAACCTTCACTAGTCACAGTTAGAGACTAGTTTACCTGGAGGCTTGCTTAAATCACTAGGCTACCTAATTCTTCATCCATTAAAGTGAACCCTTATTTACTCTCTTTTCCTCTCACGTTTTAACTATCCAATTACATTTCGAAGTTACAATCTATACTCAAACTTGTTTTCATACAGGTTTTAACCTACGGCTATGGGTTTTTCAAAAGAAATTATGAAAAATCATAGCAGGTTATTAGGTCACACACCGGATAGAACCATACTGTTTCAAATGATGCATTACCGATTAAAAATGGTAATGGAATATGATGAGAACTCTGTAACATGTATATTGACATATTTTCCAGAACAAAGTTACTATTATTACACGACCGATAATCATACTAATACTACTAATAATACTAGTCGCTCAGATGAAGTGTATGTATTTAGTTCGAAATAGCGTTTTACTGATTAAAACTTGAATGTATGAGCTGAGCTTTTCAGTTATTTCTTTTTTTCATAAAAGATAATAATTGATACACATGTACAGTAGTATCGTCCCAAAAACCCAAGCAATCAGTCTAGAATTATTATTGTCCCAAATATTGAAACATTGTGTATTGAACAGTCTGACTGGATGGAGGATTTCATCATGAGCTGACATCAGTTAGAGAAACATTGGAAAGCCAACTGGGAGTACTGAGCAGTTGTTTCGCCCTAGTTTGGGACTCTTCATCAGTACGCACCCACTGGGGTTCGAACTCAGGACCTTCTGGTTACAAGGCGAGCTCGTAGACCATTGAGCCACTGTGACCCAATCCAATGATGTCACAGCTCATCATGAAATTCGCCATACAATCAAACAAAATCCCTACAAAACTAATACTTGAATATTAAACAGTCAGCAGAGCAAATAACTCACTGTTTATTTCTACTTCGGCTGTCTCCATTGTACCAGGTACTACGTTGAACATACAATAGTATTTGCCATACAATTCTTGATCATAAGCTATGGTAAGAGAAAACAAATTCGTATAATTGTTAACATAATTAAAAAAAGAGGAATAAGAGAAAACTAAGAAATACATTATTAGAGTGTACATAAATCGTACGACTCCTCGATGCAACTTAAGCACTGTTTTCAACCTACAGGTTACGGGTTCCAGACCGGCTTCATCTACATCAGTCTGGACAACTGTGAAGTACCATCAGCCCTGACACGATAAGTGTGGCACTTAGCCTGTTACATAAAAGAAGCTGCGCTAGGACATTAAGTTCAAACAAACAAAAACACTGCATATTAATTAAGCAAAAATTTTTTTAAGTAAACAATAACGGGTAATTTTGGGTGTTAAAAAATCCTGTTTATTAGTCTGCACAAATAGACCACTAATTTTCCGCCATCTTA